CAAATAACTTCTGCTGGGAGAAGTGTTGAGCGGATTTTTCACGGTGGTTGATTAGCTTCATCGAAGTAGACGATTTTTTGAGAATTTTTTTCAGGTACATGCCAATTTATTTCAATAAAGTGCTTGGCGTTCCAGTTGGACGTACTGGCGCATCGGCCGTGATACCGCCAGCATCGCAACTCGTCGTTAAGCTGATCCTCAGTGCGGTCGCCGATCATCTGAACTGCTTCAGTGTAATATTCTTTTTTACATCCACACTTGTTCCATTTTGCTGCTCAAACTCATAAGTTTCTCGGCAGAGTTATCTACGAATTGATATTTTGAGCAGAAGTATTGTGCACTTTGAAATGCAAAATTTTACATCTCTTCCACTAAATTTTTAACCCTTATTCTTCTTTTTTGGCTCTTATTTTACGAAAAAAAAAGATACTTGTATTTATTCCCTCGGTTTCCTTCGCTGTGTTCACTACTGCAACGGTAAAAATTTTTTACCTTCGAGGTTCCCCTTCTTGCAGTATAATGATCTCAGCTAAATGAATGCTCTCCTTTAACACTTTAAGCTTACTAGCTACTCGCCATGTCAACTTCTTGCCATTTTTTAACTCATCCGCCATTTAACTTTCTTAACACATCGAAATTAAATTGCACGTAATTTTTAATATCTTTGTAATGAGAAGCAAGTCACGGCTTGTGTCTGAACTTTTTTATCAAAAGTCATTTCCTACTACTTGTGTTTTCCCAAGTTCAAATTTCTCGAAATTTTTTGCTTTATAACTTTTGCAAATTGGTACTTACTTGAGATTCTTCATCTGTAGGTGCCATAAGGCTTTTCATCTTCCTAGTCCCGACCATTCTTCTACCTTTTCTTCAAAATCCATTTTTATGCATTTTTGCATATTTATGCAAACGCAAAAACGCATATTTTCAAGAGGCCGTGTGCGTGTATGTGCGTGCGAGCGAGTGTGTATGTATTTGGAGTGGTGAAATTTATCAACCACTTTCAATTCAGTAGCGGGAAAGGCAGTAAACCGAAATCTTAGAAGCATATTCTTGAGCTGTGCGCCATTCACCGTTTTAAAATAAACATTCGTGATGATGTCCAGAAAAGTGTGAACTTTTGGCGCGAGCGACTTCAGAACCAGTTAAAAGAGAAAACTGAAAACTTGCAAGTGTGTTTTATGTTCAAATGCAGTCTAAAAGACTTTAAGTTCAGCTATCATGCACTCTCACACGCACGTATGCAGACACGTCAAAGATCCCTATTGACACCGTGCCAACGCCGCAGTTAGCCGAAAAAATTTCGCTTTTATTTTGCGAGAGTATTAATTGACCATATGGGAATTCGTATACATAATTTGAGTTCTAGACTGCGCCAGAGTCACGCTTTACGCCACATCAGAAATATTTGTAGCGAAGGGATTTTAGGAATTGGATAAACTAGGAAGCTGAATGTTCTGGTAAAAGCAGCCGTAGCAAACTTGATGACAGCTGGATCTACAAGCTGCCGGTTCACGGTGTGCAGCCAAATCTGATCTAATTAGCGAAATAAGTTTGCAGGAGCGCTTGAAGTTGCAGTTCTTTAATACGCTCTCAATGGTGGGCTGTGCACTTTGGCTAATACCGCTCGGATTCCTCAGTCGCAGGGATGATGTGCTGGCTCTGTTGTGTTTCACAGCCAGTATAAGCTGTATCGCATTTGAGACGTGTGGTTCCATGAAAAGTGCTACATTGATTGCAAGAAATTTCACCCAGTTTGTTATGGCCGTTGCTCAGGTTCATTTTCCGTTTGTTTTCTTAGTGTCTTCATGTGTGAAAAAATAGTTGAGAGAAAGAGGTAGAGAGATAACAGGGTGATCTGAATCCTCGAAACAGGCTTTTGAAACTCTGCCTTGGTTTGTTAAGAAACATGGCACTAACATTCATACATAATTAAGGAAGGTTCATTGTGCAGTCGTCCGGTATTTCAGACTTCTGGTTTCAGCTGTTGTCAACAGTCGGCATGTTAATGGTACCAATTCTGGTAGGCTGGCTGGCGCCA